CAGAAAAATAAAAAAAAGTATCAAAGAAAGCGCCATCTGTTTAACAAATGATGTAAAATGAATGTGGGTACACTATTGCATGAACAAGTGATTGTCAGTCAAACTATCACATAACTGCAAAACGTCCTGGCAGTGAAGAGGTTATACAGGCTAGTACTCAATTGCTTAAGATTTACAGTGCTTCATTTTGCCAGCTTTAACTCCAGAGATTGCACATTTTCCAATCTGCACAACCAAACAAGTGACGCGCATCCTTCCTAATAAATTATTCCTCCTCGACAGTGAAACTGCATCATCACCTCTGACCAGCGAACCAGGAGCTGATCTACGAATCAGTGATTTTAGCACTACAGTAGCAGCGTGATCATCCTGATTAACAAGACTGGCTAGACAAAAATAGTTTGGTAAATGGTAAAGCTATATGGATTTCAGCTGTATTTAGCATTTTGCCTAGATTTTCTTGTATAATATATGCACAGTGACCTGTAATCCATTTGTTTGATATGCAGCCTGAATGATAGTGTTTATGGGAATTCAAAGTAGGATTCATGTTGAAATTTGTACATATCTTCTACTGCAGACTTTCCTCGAGAATTTGACCACCGTGCTGAAGTACACCACAGACGGGGGTCCCTCTGTGATAGACATTGCAATGTAAATATCCAGCATGATTTGGTGGATATGGATACCCATTCTGGTTCTCATCAGCATAGCCTGCTCACACCAAGACTGTTGCATGGTAAGCTTTATTATGCCATTTTTGCATCAACATCCCTATGTTAACATAACATTCCCATTTATTAAGAACATAATTATGATTAATGTGTAATGATTAACAATATGGCTATACTTCCTTATTTAGTCTGTCTTCACACCTATGCGGTTTGGCAGTAGACTATGTCCAGTGTGTTGTAGTGGCTTCATTGAGAATGGCACCCCATACCCACTACAGTAGGTGCCAACGGACCCAAATTGCAATGCACCAGAACTGCAATGCACATTTTGGTGCACTGTTAAAAAAAGTAAATGTTTAATGTAGTACACAATTGGTTACAATAACTGGTACTCTTGTTAGGTCAATAAAACAAAAGTGTGTGTGTTATTTATTATGCATGCATCTCCCCATTACCTGGAGATTGGTAGATTCCAGATAAACGTAGTTTCTGGTTGCTTGAGCTAAAGCTAAATAATGTCATACCCCATACTAATACCATACCATAAACTCTGCATTGACTTCATATTGAAATGCAGTAATTAAAAGCAAATTAAGACAAATAGACACACTTAAAACAAATTAAGATAAATAGGCACACAATCATTTCCAGGATAATACATGCCGCAGAACAATGAGTACACAGGGTATTTTTTTTTTCTGGTTAGTTGAATTCCAGATAACGAGTTTACTGTGTATCTCATCAAGGAGCGCCGCCGGCGGGACCAGAGATGGGACACTACCGCCGCGGCAATTGCTCGCTTCTGTTCTCTCATCGGCCGCTCTGTAGCTACTCGATCCGCTGCCTTCTGCAGCTTCCTCCGCCCACCTCATCCTGTGCGTCACTCTGCCCTGTGCGTCACTCTGACCTCTGCGTCACTCTGACCTCTGCGTCACTCTGCCCTGTGCGTCACATTACTGACCTGTGCGTTACATTACTGACCTGGCAGAGTTAAGTCCGGGGCAGGGTAGGGGTTAGGTGGGGCAACTGGTGGCGAGTAACTTTTAAGGCCTGGCTAGTAGCTCAGGACTTAAAATTTTGAGCCCTGGTGTATATAATATATATTATGCAATTTAAAAATAAAAAGGCAATACATTAGTATTTAGCATATCAATAGATGTTGACGGTCTTACAAAGACTTGTGCAGCCACTGACTGTTAATTCAAAAAAGGACACTGCTACTCCCTCTGTACTATATACCGTATGTATCTGAACCAGTGCTTAAAGCCTGTCTCTCAGGGCACGATGGACTCCTCCTAGGCTCTCCCCCACTGCAAGTTAACTGCTCGTTGATGGCTAGGGGACCTGTGCAAAGGTCTTACTTACCTGATCTCCGCTTCTCTGGCAGTCCCTCCTTTGCTCCATCCTGTTGACTGTCCCTCGGTGTCATCACATATAATTCAAGACTATGATGATGATATCAGCAGGCCTCCAACCACTGGGTTGAAGGGGGAAGAAGTCTCGGAACTTGCGGGAGTAGGTTTTACATAGGTAAGTCATTTATACAGCTCACCGAAACAATAACAGTTACCCTTGCAGTGCAGGGGTAGCCCCACTGCAAGGGGAGGTTTTTTTCTGGAGATTAGGCTTTAACACCTTTTCACCTGTAAACACTGGCAACTGCAAAGATTCTCATGAGAGACTCATGTAAAGGAGGAAACTTTTCATTAAAAGAAATATGTAGACTATTCTTTCTATCCTCTGCTTCTGGAAATGCTAGTTGTCTATCATACTAATGCTTTTACTTAAATACTGCTGTGACCAGGAACAAGTATCCAGATAAGGAAAAGTCGGCTTATCTACATGTTTCCAGTCAATAAAATGTATTGAGGACACTGAGTTTATATGACAGCAAAGTAACTATCCTTTTCATGACGATGACAAACATGGCGGCCCCTGTATATCTCTTGACAGATTGTCTGTGAAGCTATGCTATTTTGAGTTAGAAATACTCTTGGTGTAGGTGTAAATGTAGAAAAGGGATACGCCACCAGCTTCAGGTGTTGGAAGGTTAATCTTTCCCCAACTATTCCTGTATGAAAGTGTTTAAAGCAATTTTTTGTGTTTAACTGGTTAATTGTGTCAAATAAAATCCTTGTATTCCTGTAGGAGCCTCCACCCCATCCTGTTGTCCTCATCACTCAGAGGAGGTCCTGCCTTGTGACCTTTGTCTTGTTAAAACTACTCTAACTGCTGAGAATGAAGTGGAAGCCCTTAAATTGTCAAATAACTATAAGGTGAGCCTTTTCAATATATCCCTTCAAGTCATTTCTGTATAAGATCTGCTGCTATCAATTTGTTTTTTACTTTTGTGGTCTGTGTAAGAAGAGCTGGATGAAAACGAGAATAAAAAGTCGGTTAAATTATTTAATAAAAAATGACTCCTTTGTTCTTGTCTCAGTTGTATATCCTTCGTTTTGCACACTTGGACCTTGTTTATTCATCAAACTCCTCCCATTGTGATTTAGTAATATTAGTATTCTAGTATTTTTTTATCCTAAACTTAGAATAAAGTGTTTTTATGAATGGGTTTTTGTGAATAAATATATAAATTATGAAATACTATTTTATTAGACTTTGTTTTACACAGACTAGGTCCGGCATCCTACCTAGACCTTTCCTTGTCTCTACTGGCAACATTGTTCCTATGTAGTAAACCCAATATATGTTATTTTTTGTGGTTAACTACACAAAACATGCCTCCGTTCTATTTGCATCTCTACTCCAATTAAAAGTAAACATTTTAGAACAGACTCTAGAAGATGGCTGCTACTAAAAAATTGTATTAACTTGAAAGCCTCTTCTGTGCCCCTCTTTGGTTTTGTTTCACTTTGCTACAATGACCTAACTTAATGGCTAAGCCACCTGCCATTCCGCTATGCAATGGGACATCCATATTGGGCAGAAAATGACATGTTGAAATTTAGCAGGTGTGTTTTATCAGTATAGTTAAAAGCTGAAAATGGAGTACAGGTTACTTTTGGAAGGGAACTTTACCCACCAATTTAATGTCTCCCAAAACTGTTACTTTTAAGGCATGCCAACTGTCAAAGTTGTCAATGTGCTTATTTCAGCTCTCAACCAAACTTTCAAGCCTTAAAATGGTTGGTGTAATAGCTGATCACATATGCAACACCATGGCAACTGCATTCCAAATAGAGGCTAAGATGGACACCTTCCTTGGCTGTATAGGAGGATGTAGTTCTGCTTTAATATTCTGTCCTAAAAACCAAAGGACAGTTATGAAGACGTAACTAGTCCTGTTTGTTTACTGTGGTTCATGATCACTAAATTATGTTTAAAGGTTAACACTCTGACTTCTTCTTTATTACTTTTTATCAAATTCAGTTTGGTTTTAAAAAATGGAAAAGCCATGTAACTGAGCGTCCATGGGAGGATCGATCTGAAATTGTAAAAGAACTCTATTCTGACCTGAATGTGGTAAAAGCTGCAATGGGTAAGATGGTCATCTGCTTTTTTATTTAAGCTGCTTGGATAATGTGTGTGTCAGGGAAGAAAGGGCAAAGCAAAATTAGGTTATAACATTTGCAGTTTTTGTTTCCCATGGTTTAGGGTAATAGTCCTCGGTTTCAATGATATGCAAAGTTTATATGATATTAAGCCATTGCTAGTGCCCTGCAAACTCGTACATAGTTTTTGCCATTAAAGTGAAACTGCAGTCAAAACATTTTGTTACATTTTTATTGCTGTGTTCTTGATGCACAGGGTAAGGTAAATTCCCACTATAGTGAGTGGTTACTGGGATAGAAAGTGTTTTTAAATTTACCTAATAAGGACTTATATTATAATATTCTATAGACTTAGATAACATGATATATTCAGTAAGTCTAGAATCCATTACGGATGGAGTTGCAGACTTCTCTATATAGAAAATTTATCTTAAAAGTAGCAACATTTTACTGAATCCCAAGACTGGAAAAAATGCATGACCCCCCAGGACTCTCCCTGCCTGTGTCCTCCTCAAACATGTTATTTGTCAATTTGAAACAGGTTTAATCTCTAGATTTAGTAGGCATTGTGTAGGATAGGTTGTATTTGTGTTTGCTAATAATGATTTATTATTATTATTATTATTTTGCACAGCTATCATGAGACCTACAAAATCAGTAGCATCTTTTTACTCTGTCAGATTTGTGCTTTCAGAAAATGTATGGTTTGGGTGGTCTTTTACTAATTCTAAAAGCTGTATGTGAAAAATTAAAAAAATACTCTGGGCCCCTGAGGTTAGAAAGCTTAACGCCTGGCAGTGAAGGGTTAAAGTAAGGTGGATTTTCTAGTGTGGATAGATGTACTAATGGAATCTGGGAATCTGCATTACTGTCATTAAAAGCAACATAAAGGAAAACTATAAGCGTGGCCCCTATGTATTACCATGTGAGTTTCAGACCCAGCTTTAGGACGCCCCCCCAACCCCCCCCCCGCGCCGCTGGACGCAGGGCTTAGTGACGCGCTGAACGCAGCGCTGGACACAGGACCCACCTGAGAGTGACCCTGCAGAGCCCACCATAGATGCTACGCAGCCCATCTGAGACTGTCTATGGTGGGCTCTGAAGGGGTCTCAGGTGGGCTGTTCAGGGCTGCATCCCTCCCTCCTTTCCTTCCTTCCTTCCTAGCTCCTCTTACCTGCACACATGGCCTCGTCTGCCACCAGACCGGCCAGAAGTGACGCCACTTCTGGCCAGTCCGACATCAGACGAGCAGCGTCGCTGATGGGGCCCTTGCTTGTCTCAAAGCCACTGGAGCGGCAATGCTGGGGCCCGGGCTGCTAGGGCCAGGCCTCCGCCTCCTCGCCCTTCACCGTCGGCCGATAGTCGTGTAAGGGACCCGGGTGGGCCCCCAGGCTGCCCGGGCCCCTTACATGAGTATCTGCCGTACCCCCCTGATGGCTGCCCTGCTTGGAGGTGAGGACTTGGCTGTTTTCAACTGAAGGTCTTATTTGCACAGATATAAAACCTGTTGAGTCTGCTTAGACAACAAATTGAGGAAAGGACGAGTAGTTGTGAAATTGTTGATGGAGCAAATTTTAAAGTCCCATTGGGGGAATTTATCAAAGCTATTGCGACAGTTTTAGCCTCTTAGATCATTATTAATGTGCAAATCTGTCTTTTAACATGTGCCCCTGTTTTGACCTGAGCTTGCACTACTTTTTTCAATTGCATGTTTTTTTGCACCTGATTTGATCTGCACTTGTCCTGCGGCGGTCTGAAACTGGAGCATCACCTAACAAAACAATCGCAACTTAAGAAGCCCCCATGACCACTTCTTCAAAAAGCGACACTTGCGCTTTTTGCCTGCAGTTACGAGTCCTCTTTTCTAGAGTCTATTAAACCTCATTTATGAACAACATTACACTAGCATCCTAAATCTGGCGCAAACTGCATCAAATATATTCCGTGCAAGTTCAAACACTCGCAATTGCTATGATAAATTCCCCCATTATGTTTAAATTCTTGGGAAATGGAAATGTTTACTAAAATAAACAATAGTACTTTTACGATTTCCTTTAAAGGGGTTCTAAACCCTCCGTTTTTTTTGCTTATATCTACTGCTAGCAAGCAGTAGATATAGGCAAGAAGTGTAAGAAAAACAAAAAAAGAACGCTTGAAATCATTTTAAACTTACCTTGTTATCGCTGCTCGCTCCCGTGCCGAGAATCAGGAACTGCTCTTACGGCCACAAAGGATCTTGGGGCGGGCGCATGCGCAGTTCCGATTCTCGGCCGGGAGACTAGCAGAGACGCATGGTAAGTCTATGGACGTGTGCACCCGCATGCAGACACCGCTGGATCGGAGGGACAGAGCAGTCAGCGCTGGATCGGAGTGACGTTACACCGCTGGAGGGACAGATGAAAACATGGGGAAAGAAGAGGAAGACCAGAATAAGAGACATCATTTAAGGTAAGTGCTAACATTTACATGGGGGGGAGGGAAACATTTTCTTTGCCTTTTTAATATCACTTTAACCGTATTTATTTTCACAGCCTCACAATTCAGCATTGGCAACATCCTTTATGTACTTCTTTTTGGATGGTGGATCACTTTGCTTTACATCCTGGTATCTGTCCTTATGTTTCTCTCCATACTAGGAGCTCCTTATGGTAATTTTTTTTTTTTTACCTGTACAATTTTGTCTAAATTTGAATGTGGCTCTTTCTGTATTCTAAAATGTTTTCTAAACAAATGGCCCATTTTCATTTTTTAAATGAGCTGTAGATCATACTGTGGATGTATTTGTCCTTGAAATGGTTGCATATTGTGCCCAGCGACTGAAAAAAAAAAAAGTGTTTTTATTTATCCTTGCATACTTTTGAGGGAGATCTTTTGATTTAAGTTTTTTTTAAGTACATTTTTTTTATTATTATTTTGTCTCTTGCCTTGCAAAATGTCTAAAGTATATTCTAGAAATACTGGGAGGGAGAGTGTGCATACAGCTTCATAGTCCTGGAGATGGACTAGGCAGTTTCAATAAGGCTCCCTGTGTCAAAGTAGCTTCAAACCAGTTCTAAGAGTTACACAAGTTACAAGTGGAAAACAAGTTGGTATTTCTGACCTTGTTTTAAAACGGGGCCATTAGGAAAATCCCTTAACAGAGTGATTTGTCAAATAAAATTTGTACCCATTAGGATGCAGAAGGGGCAAAATATATAATTCTTGGAAAGATAATACCACACTGTGTACTTGATGTCATATTTTAGTTCTAGCAGTACATTGTATTAGGGGAGCAGATTTGCACACATAATTGTAAAGCATTTTGTGGTTCTGCAGCTTTTAACAGTATTATTTTTCCCCATTTGCAGGTGTCCTTTGTTGGAAGCTTGCAGGATACTTTATTTGGCCATTTGGGAAAGTAATCTTAAAGGTAAGCTAGTACCATGGGCCTGGGCAGTGTTTAAACCTTGATCCCTACCATTGTTCCTGTGCCATTTACTGATGTGTTCAGTGGTGTTATATTTATTGCTTTGTATGTGTATTGACAAATACAAGTTTTATTTCCCTTAATAGTAACTTCAACCTACTGCCATATCCAAGGTATTGACTGCTTAATGTAAATGCATAATATCTGAGCCACATCAAAGCCGTGGATCAAAGTGTTCTAAATAAAATCTACCACTGATTTTTTTTTTTTCTAGTTTTATATTTTGAGAGCTGTAGTTTTAATACATATAATTTAGAGTTGGTAGTTTAACTATTTTTAGTGGTGATTGTATTCTAGAAGTTGGAAGAGACTGTATTGACTTTTTCTAGTGCTTGCAGTTGTTATTTAAAGAACACAGTTTACTTAAAACACTAAGCGGAGACTACACCTTATCATAATGTTCTGCAAAATGTCTGTCAGGAATGGTCATATACTATAACGCATGCATTATGTTTTATCAAATATTTGTTTTGTTTTTTTTGTTTCAAATAATTTTTGAGATTTTACATAAGGTATAAAGAGATACAATTAACCCGCCGGTTCAGGATAAATGCAGTAAACATCAGACATGCAAACCGTTAATCACATCAGTGAACGACTAAAAATGAAACCAGGAAAAATAAGAGAAAAGTACATTTGCCAGCACACGGTAGGCTTAGTTACCCAGTATTGGCCTCTATGTCTAATTCGGGTTCCCAGAGGCACTGGGGTAGCAGATGTGACCATTTTACACAGGGGTGTAGGCATGTCGAGGTTGTAGTTACGAGCAGCTGACTCATCATAGTGGATGTGGTGTGTCGGAGGATGCTGTTCTGGTATTCTGAGTTGGAGTGCTTGGGAACTCGATGAGAGATGGGAACTCGAGAGGTCTAAATGGGTAGAGGAAAAAGAGGGAGAAGATTAAGAGAGGAATGCAGGGAGGAGGAGGAGGAGGAGGAAGGTAAGGGTCATGGTATGGGAGGTGTGAAGTGTTGAAACACTATTGTGGGGTGAGACTGGATGGCCAATGGGAGATGGTTCAGCATGAGTAGCTGTTCCCATAGGGAAGGTGTCTCAGTGTAGGGCAGTAAAGTCATCCGGTCTGATGGAGTAAGCCCAACAGGCCCACATTGATCTAAAGTTATCCAAGGTATCTTGTCTAGTAGCCTGTAGCTCCTCCATCTCATAGACGTGGCCAACCTTTTTTGAGCCATTCACGTACAGTGGGTGCATGGTCTTTCTGCTAATGGTGGGGGATGATTGTGCGTGCAGCATTGATAAGGTGTCTGTGTAGCGACTTCAATGCGCCCATGGGCTTGTCAGCTATCCAATGTAAAAGTGAGAACGTGAGAGGGAAGTGTGGCACCTGTAATTTTGCGGCTTGCTTTGTACACCTGTCTCCAAAAGGGTTGTATGTGGGAGCAGGACCAGAAGATGTGTTTTGAGGGTGCCCTCGTCCGTGTGGCATCTCTAGCAAGATTGGGATACTGCCGGGTATATGCAATGTAGTAAATGGGGAGTCCTGTACCAAAACGTCAGAAGTTTGTAGTTCGTTTCTTGCATTCTGCTATTGAGCGTACACTTGTGAGCTGCTGTGCAAATGGTAGACCCTGAGTCATCAGTAAGAGTTGGGGATCCTACCAGTCATTAAGGAGTCCTTAAAAATGAGGATTAATGGTCTAGTTATAACCTGGCTTAATTCCTTAAGTACCTTGGGGTGCAGGTTATCCGGACCCACTGCTTTGTTTGCATTGAGCATTTTAAGTCTTTGGAGTTTGGAGAGTCCGTTCCCATTTAAGACGCGGGTGATCAAATATTTGTGAGTCTTTTCTCCATTACGCTCCAGACATTTTCTTCCCTTAGTCTATTCTGTCATGTTTGTTGGAAGCAGTAACAATGATTGTTACAAAATATAGGCGACCGTTTATGGACACCTGAACACCTATATTGGCTTGTTGAACATTCCATTCCAGAACCATGGGCTTTAGTACAGCGTTGTCCCCCATTGTGGCTATAACTGTCTTCATTGTAGAAGGCATTCTACACGAGTTTGGGAGTGTGCCTGTGGCACTTTGTTCCCATTCAGCCAAAAAAAAATGTTTGCGGGGTCAGGTACAGTAATGATTTTGGCTAGGTCCTGGCTTACTATGCAAGTCCTTTTTAATCATCTCCAGGATATTCATTAGGGTTAAAGGAGAACTATGAGGTGAGTGAAGATCCCTCATCCTCATAGTTCAAGCCGACGTGTGACAATGAAACTGTCACACGACGGCTCAATAGATCGGGAAGTGAGCAAACGCATACCGTCGCTCGCTCACTTCTCGATCATCTCCCTGCAGGGAGCACAGATCCCTGCAGGGATTCCACCCCTCTCCCCCCCTGCTCCGATCCTCCAGTCAGCGGATGGGGTGGGGGCGGGTACAGCTGGCTCTGCCGTCTAGATAGGCAGAGCCAGCTGTCAGTAATGTCGGGATCCGTCCCGGCTAGGATGCTGGTTTATGTGCCCCTTAAGAGAACTATGGGGAAAAACACTTACCCCATAGTTCTTTTAAGGTCAGGGCTCTGTACACAGGATTCAAGTTTTCCACACCAGTGTTTTATGGATCTGTATTTCTGCACAGTGGTGTGGTTATAGTGGAACAGAAAAGGGCCTTCCCTAAATTGTTGCCACAAGATTGGCAAAAATGATCTAAAATGTCATTGTATGCTGTAGCAGTAACCATCTTAACTGGAAACTACTGAACTCAAAAATGTAGGGGGGTCCACATAATGTTTGTCCATACACTGTTTTTGTGTTTTGATTTTTTTACATGGTGATTGATCTTCAGAGTGGTACTGCACATAACAGAAAATGCCTGGTGAGATTCACAAAGTGTGAAGCAATACCAGAGGTCGATGAAGTGGAGAAAACCCCCCTCATAAATAACTGTGAGAAGGTACATTCAGACTACCAGGGTCCGGAGGTCCACTACTGGGTAAGCAAGCCTTCCAGTTTGCCATTTTTGTAGCATGGCTCTCCATGAGCAAAACACTGTCAAAAACTCCTCCCCTTTTTTTTCTTTTTCAGTTGTTATATATAATAATTTTTACATACAAGGTTTTCAGAATTATCCTAGCAATAAATGGATAAAATGGCTTTTATCAGCAATAGAAGATGAGCAATAAGGGCGATCACAATAATCTCAGTAAAAATAGTAGAATAATAATATTTTCCTGCATACACATGAAGTGAAATTCTACTTTTGTTGAGAAAAAATAATTTCAAGTAAATGCATTTTTACAGAATTCATCACAGGTTCCTAAAGATTCCTGGTTCTGTTCTTTGGTTATACAATACACAGTAGCTTTTGTTTCTCCATTGGCTTGTTCGAGTGCTAACCTGGAGGGTCTGTCTTGAATGATTGTAAAATTAGTGCAGATGTTGTAGAAAGAGAGAACCTGCATCTAAGCATTCCTGAAGACCCTTGACAGACACTTTTTGGCAGTTAGCCTAAGGATTTTGTCTGGGAAGCATGAAATGTTATCTTTTAGTTTTGTACAAACATCTGTGAAAAGCAGTGAACCAATCGCATGTAAAATAATTGTTTCTGGGGGTGTTCTATACAGTGCAGGGAATTTATCAAAACTGGAGCAGACAGAATCTGGAGCAGTTGCCCATGGAAACCAATCGGTTTATCTTCCGTTTGCTCAGGTAAGATTTGAAAATGAGACAGAAGCTGATTGGTTGCGGTGCAAATCTTCTCCAGATTTTGTCTGCTCCAGTTTTTATAAATTCCCCCCAATGTGTATAGAATGTTGGCACTGCTTCCACTAATATGTTGGGTTAGTTGATGCAGTTGTATAAGTGTCTCACGGGCAGGTATGTATTTATGTATACCTTTTTCCTATACAATCCAGAAGTTTGGCTTGTGTGGAAGCTGGCCACCCTGAGGAAATCCTGGTCAAATATGTACATTTGAAGATGTTTTTAAAATTGATAATATGAAATCTGAAAGTTTCATTTCACTTTTGTTGTCTGCTATTTTTAGTGGCGACTCAGCACTTATGTATGGCTCTTGGTAGGATTTCCATTGCTTGCAGTAGTCCATGGGCTAGCAAGCTTAATCTCTTGGCTTCTAGTCTTCTTCATCCCCATCTCCAAAATGAATGCCAGGATCCTGTCTACCGTGCTGTTAATGCCTCCAGAACATGTGCACATCCGAGGGACAAAAAAGGTGGGAGGCAGTTTTACGTACCCTATTTCAAAACCCTATCTTTGTGAATATTTATTAAAGCTGTTTGGTAGAGTCAAGTGGAGCTGAAGTAAGTAGAGCTAAAATACAAATAGCCTTTTATTATAACCTGTATATTTGTACCTGTCCCTGCAGCCTCTCTGCCAATGACAATAAGATCAGTTTGCGGCAACGTGACTTAGTCTTTTGGCTGCTACTGTACAACAGCAGCAGCCACTCCATTAATTGCTCCTACCACTGTGGAGGTTTTGTATGCCAGTGTAAATGTCAACTGGAGTAGGAATAAATTGATAGTGACTGCTAATCTTTAAGGTGGAAGAAAAACAAGACCAAGTATATTCTTTCTTTTAGGTAGAACTTAGTGTGAACAATACAAAGGAGGGAAGCCAGGTCATTCCATTTGGAGTGAGAAATGCTGACTGATGTTGTAGTGAGGTTGAATAGAACTGAGATGGGGGCACTATTGAACGTGTTGTGTAGAGATCAAGATTTTAAACCCATGTCCAGAGGTAAATTGATTCCTATAACAAACCTTAGTCAGTTTATGGGATTAAAGCAGAGGCAACATTTCTCTTTGTAGCACTTTATTTTGAAATATTTCATAAAGTGCCTTTTGACTGGTGCTTCTACATATTTACAGAACATTGACAGGTATGAATCTGCAGTAAATTTTGCTAAAGATTGTTGAAAATATAGTTGAGCCAGATGGCCTTTTTATTTTCCTCCAAAAAAATTAATTAACCTCAGGTGTCAAAAATATGATGGCTTTCCCTTGTTGGGATGATTTTGAAAGACGTTTGATTGCTTTCATACACATAATGGTAATACATTGTATAACCCTAAATGGGCAAATGTTCCATACAATCCTCTCAAAAATAGAAAAAGGGGGATAGCCAAAGTTGTCTTGGAATAATTTCTTTATTAGAATTTATTGTGTTGGTAAATTTTAACTTTCTTTGACCTTTTCTAATAAATCCACCAGATTACCACCTTGTATATTAGATGTAGAGTTTTTAACAATTGAATGTCTGCTCCAGTGTACTAAATATAAATACTTTGTGATATCCATTTTCTGATTTCTAGGTAGAAGAGGCCTATCATGCAGAAATCATTCTATGCTGCTATTATGCCGTTAATGTATATTACTACAAGTATGCTGTGGATGGATTAAATGTGTTTTCAGTCAGTATCCTTTTTCTTTTGTGAAGACTCTTAAAAAGTGCTATGCTGAGAAATATTGGTGCTTCTGTTTCTGACTTATTTCTACAAATGTTTGGTTGTCCCGAGAGCCTGCTGAAGCAGAACTGCCAGGCAGCAAGTGAAGTTCAATTGGTAATCTGTGTAATTCTGGATCAGTGATGTAATGCTAGATGAGCTAAACCTGTAGTTCCCAATCTAGTGCTTTTGCTTTTCCACCCAGCCATCCCTTTGCCTTTTTAGGTACTAAATATTTTTTTTATTTCCTGTGTAAGAAGATCATTAATTAACGCACACATAAAAATTAAATATTAAAGTATAAAATTGTTCAAAAAGAGTGTAGACATCATACAAAAGGAGACCTATAAAATTGCATATTAAAAAAAATGATGTTGTACATAGAGACATTCATTAAAAAAAAAAAAGTTGAATTACAGCTATTGCACTACATTAGAAAATAATCATACAGATGAGGCCTAATCTATGTGATACAAAGTTACACAACAAAATCCTAGCTACCCTCTAGTCACCTATTTAATCTTCTTTCAACCTCTACTCCCTTCCTTTTTTTCTTTTAACATGGAAATGGCTAGGAGATTTTACCATTTAGGAGGGTTGAATTCCTAGCTCAGTTGCAGCTGTGACATCATGGCTCCTCTCACTGCCTTGCAATAGCTGCCTTGACAGCTCTGAAGCAGAGCTGTAGGCTGAAATTTTTTTTGTTTTTTTTTTGTTTGGCAGCTGGAAAAGTGTCCAAAGCCTCTTATAACAACATTAGTTGCTTCCCATAAGGGCATCTATGAAGATTCCCAGAGCAGGTGGCAAAGCATGCAAGCAGCCGGGGAGGGTGTTAGATCCACGCTGTCTGGAGATCTAATCCCATGGCTGCATTGTTTACACTTTCCCCCCCCCCCCTAAAATC